GTGATCTGGAAGCAATATCCTTTCATTTTGTTACATTTATAAGTATGGATTCAAATATACTTACCAACTTAGGGCTTATGTTGCCAAAATCTTTACACCTATGTCTTTCATAAATATTAGCCATCATTTCTTTAAATTTTGCTCTAATCCTTTATTTCTATTCTCACTTACTGAAACTCTTTTTGAGACACATAATGAAATTGTTCATTCCCTTCTTCATGTACTTAACTTTTCTTTATATTTTCCTTCATTCAGTTGGGTTTTATCAACTTTTTACCTCATCCATTGAAATTTTGAAAATAAATATTATAATTTTCATAAAGCATTTTAACACAGCTCTGTGGTAAGCTATAATGATCTTGACATGTTGAGATGTTTTTTATTCCATTTGTCTTTTTTTAATATGTTGAGATTTAATTTAAAACTAGTGCCCCAGTGCATGGATTTGTGCACATTGAAAGGAAATTAATTAGAAGGTGGCCTGCAGGGTAGGACTGGGCGAGATGGGCCGGACATGCCCTGGAGCCAACCTCCAGCAGTCCCTCTCTCCTGCCGCACCTGGGGCGGTGCTGCGGCTTGGAGGTTGTATGTGGAGTGAGTGGAGTCCCTCGGCAGGTCGGGTCCTTTGACCTGGCCTGCGGGGATCAAGCCAAAACCGGCTCTCCAACATCCCCCGAGGGGTCCTGGATTGTAAAAGGGCGGTTCTCGGGTGATGCACCCCAGAATCAGGCTTCCTCCTCTCTGGATCCGGGTGCATCACCCAAGAACCGCTGCTGCCAAGTCACCGCAGCTTGGCAGCTCCTGCATTGAACGTCTGCCCCCTGGTGGTCAGTGTGCGTCATACCTATCGGTCAGAGTGTCTTCCCCTCTGGTGGTCATTGTGTGTCATAGCTACTGGTCAGAGAGTCGCTTAGCCTTTTATATATATAGATGTTATACTGCTATTTCCTCTAATCAGCATCAATACATTCAATAGTATTTTTTTCCTAAAGACAACTGTTTCTTTTCAACTTTCCAGTTTTCTTTTATTCTATGTTGTTTGAATTCTTCTAACTCTATTAGAAGGAATTCTTCTACTTAGATTAAAAATAATTTTTTCATTTTTTTTCTCTCTCTCCCCACATTTTGTTTTCCATCATATCATTTGACAATAAGTTCCAAATTGATTGAGAAGTCAGAATAGTGGTTACTCTTGAGTGTGGGTCCTGAACTGAAGTTGGAGGGAGGAGGTGGGAGAATACTCTCAAACACTAGAAATGTTCTGTATCTTTTTAAAAAAAGGGTATTTTTATTGATTTCAGAGAAGAAGGGAGAGGGAGAAATAGAAACATCAATGATGAGAGCGAATCATTGATCGGTGGTCTCCTGCCTATCCTCTATTGGGGATTGAGCCCGCAACCTGGGCATGTTCCCAGATTGGGAATTGAACCATGACCTCCTCATTCATAGGTCTATGCTCAACCACTGAGCTACACTGGTCTGGCATGTTCTATATCATAATTTGCATGGCAGTTACATTTGTAGAAAGTCATTGAATTGTACACACTTGAGATTTTTACACTTAAGTTGTATTTCAAAAAAGAGGGGGAGAAAGTTGTAGGCATGATTATAATGCACCCTTAAATATTTACACATGTATTTCCCAAGAATAAAAACATTCTCCTGTATATCACCACACTTTAAAAATTAATAATTCTAGCCGAACTGGTTTGGCTCAGTGGATAGAGCAGGGGTCCTCAAACTTTTTAAACAGGGGGCCAGTTCACTGTCCCTCAGACCGTTGGAGGGCTGGACTATAGTTTAAAAAAACAACAACTATGAACAAATTCCTATGCACACTGCACATATCTTATTTTGAAGTAAAAAAAACAAAATGGAAACAAATACAGTATTTGTATTTGCATATGGCCCGCGAGCCGTAGTTTGAGGACCCCTGGGATAGAGCATTGGCCTGGGGACTGAAGGTTCCCAGGTTTGATTCCGGTCAAGGGCATGTACGTTGGTTGCGGGCACATCCCCAGTGGGGGGTGTGCAGGAGGCAGCTGATGGATCTTTCTCTCTCTTCAATGTTTCTAACGCTCTATCTCTCTCCCTTCCTCTCTGTAAAAAACCAATAAAATATATTTTTAAAAAAATTAGCAATTCTATAACATCTAGTGTTCAGTCAACATTAAAAACTTTCCAAGTCTCAAGAATGTTTTTTACAGCTCTCCCCATCCTAATCTATAACTAGGATCACACACTGTATTTAGTTGTTATGTCTCTTTAGTCTTTTTTAATGTAGAATAATCCACAACTTTTTTATTTTATTTTATTGATTCCAAAGAAGGATGAAGGTGGAGAGAAGGAGAAGAGGAGAGAGAGTGGAGAGAGAGAAGAAGAGAGGAGACAGGGGAGAGTGGGAGAGAGGGAGAGAGGGGGGAGAGGGGAGAGAGAGGGAGGGAGGGAGGGAGGGAGGGAGGGAGGGAGGGAGAGAGGGAGAGAGGGAGAGAGGGAGAGAGAGAGAGAGAGAGAGAGAGAGAGAGAGAGAGAGAGAGAGAGAGAGACATCTATGTGAGAGATACATTGATTAGTTGCCTCCCATACATGGCCCTGACTAGGGATTGAACAAGCAACCTAGGTATGTGCCCTGACAGGGAATCGAATCTGCGACCTTCTGGTGCATGGGACGATGCTCCCAACAACTGAGGCACACCAGCCAAAGAAATCCCCAACCTTTTAATCTCCAACACAATGAGGCAGTTTATCTTAGAGGACGTCCACATTTCTCTTGTTTCCTCATGGTGCTTATCTGCGTGTTTCTTGTAAAATGGAAGGTGCAGAAACTTGAAATTTAACTTGTAACCATTCTTAGCAAGAATACTTCATAGATGATAACTGTCATCCACTGACCTTCCTTCCTTCCTTCCTTCTTTCTTTCCTTCGTTGAATTTATTGGGTTGATATCGTATATAATAAAAGCCTAATATGCTAAGTGTCCGGTTGTCTGGTCATCTGTTCAATCAAAGCATAATATGCTAATGATATGCTAAGGCTGCTCAAATGCTTGCTATGATGTGCACTGACAACCAGGGGGCAAACAGTTGGTGGGTAGGTTAGCTTGGTGCTGGGATCCAGCTGAACAGGACTGAGCGAGACAGGCTGGATATGCCCTGGAGTCCTCCTGCGGGCCCTCCCCAGCTGGCCAACCTCCCACATCCCTCCCAGGCCCTGATCATGCACCAGTGGGGTCCCTCAGCTTGGCCTGCATCCTCTCGTAATCCGGGACCCCTCAGGGGATGTCAGCTGGTTTTGGCCTGATCCCACAGGCCAGGCTGAGGGACCCCACTGGTGCACAAATTCGTGCACTGGGCCTCTAGTTGGTTAATAAGATTATATAGGTTTCAGGTGTACAATTCTATAATACATTATCTGTATATTGTATTCTGTGTTCACCACTCCAAGTCAAATCTCCTTCTATCACCAATTTATTCCCCCTTTACCTTCTTCTACCTCCCCCCCGCCCCTTCTTCTCTGGCAATCACCATAGTACTGTCTATGTCTATGAGGATTTTTTTTTCACCCAGCCCCCCAACTCTGTCAGTCTGTTCTCTGTATTTATGGATCTATTTCTATTTTATTTGTTAGTTTATTTTATTCATTAGATTCCACATATAAGTGAAATCGCATGGTATTTGTCTTTCTCTGTCTGGATTATTTCTCTTAACATAATATTCCCCAGGTCCATCCATGCTGTTGTAAAAGGTAGGATTTCCTTCTTTTTAAAATTTGAAGACCACCTGGAAGTTCTGTTTTATTCCTTCTTAGGAGTCTAATTTAGCTGTTTCTAAATCTTCTAACTCATGAACGGTAGACAGTTTCCTTATATATTTTATAAATTAGGATTTTGAGCGTGTCACAAGGGCATTCTCTCTGTGAATTCAGGGACCTGAATGGGCCAGAGAGGGTTTCCATTTACTTTTGCCCTGTCCCTGAATGCTATTACCCCTCTAGTACCAGTTGTTACATTAATTTCTTGGGTGCAGGGAAATCCACACTTTGATGAGACTAGGTTTATAGTTAAGAGTATACAGGGTACTCTTATCTGGAACCCTGGCAAAGGCAGATAAGTTTCACTGTTATTTATATATGCTGGTGAATAAATTTCCTTCCAGTTCACCCTTTTGTTGAAGGTAAAGCTCTTCAAGGCTCAGCTTTAGGTAAAGATCTAAATTCCAACCATGTCTGTGTCATAAGGCCTAGTCTTATGTTCCCACACATGAATCTTCAAATCCCTTTGTTGGACATGGTGAAAAACTGACCCCACTGGAGGTCACTATAGCACAGGTGAGCAAACTTTTTCCATTAAGAATAAGCATTACCAATGATGCTGCCTGAGAAAAATAATTAAAAACTACTTTGACGTTTTTGGAAAGAAAATGGTTTTTGTTAATATAAAAAGCAATATGCATTATAAAAAGTAACGATGTATAAGGGTGCATTATTTACTAAATCTACTGACAGTACTCGTTGCACTTGAGGATTACAGACCATCCAAAATAATTCTGCAGATTTCTCTGTTCTAAATGCTACTTACAGAGTACTCTACTCTAACGGTGATACCAATGATCAATAATCAAAAGTTATATAAACAAGAGGAAAAATAAATCCAAATAGAGAATTCTCAAGGGTGAAGAATGAATCTTACCTGATAGATGTTAGACAACAAGCAAGCACTAGTCTTAAAATTCTGATTGATTCTGAACTAGTACTTAAACTTGAGCATGGTTCAAGTTTGGGAGGTAAGATTAAGTGTCAAATCTGACACTAAAAACAATACTATTTGTTAGAGTTAAAGAACACAGACTTTGGCACCAAATAATTGTCTTTTCCTCCCTTGTTTAAAATGCTTCAATTTGTAAGACCACTGACTATAAAGTGATGATATATTTCATTTTCAACAAGTGGTCTTTCTGAAAAATACTAAGAAAAGGCAATGATGATATTAAAAGTTGACTCACCACTGTCCTCTGTTTGTTGGGCAGGAAGACTCTAACAATAGGTTTTTGTGGTGACTTAGGGTTGCTCCGTGACACATCTGTGGGATTTTGAAAAACTGAAAGAGATGAAGGTAGCACTGAAAGGCTAGAAGAGGAAGAAGATGTAACGGTGTCCGTTGATGCAGAGCTAGAAACAGAAAAATCAGTTCCATTCCCCAGGGATTCCAATAACTGTTGTTCTCTTTGTTGGAGGGCATCTAGCTTGCTGGTGTATTCTTCATAGGCCTATAAAATAAAGTAGATTTATAGTGAATCTGGAACTCTTCCTGACAGTAACAATAGAAAACATAAAATTTAAGTCCTCGATTATAATCTCTTTATAATTTAGCTTACAGGGTTTTAAGTTATAAGTTTCAAAATAAGCACTGGAAGTACTGTAAATGACTACTTTTACCTTTAAATTGATATATCTTTTGTTATAAAATACTACATTATATTACAATGAGAAACTGACAAACACATATAAAAGAGATGTCTATAATATCTATGAGTATTAATAAAAGATAGTATAAAATACTATACTACATCAAGGATAAGTACCCTCTTCATTAAAATTGTTTCCCCCCTCAAAAAAAATCTGTTGGCACAAAGTTTCACACTCCTCTCCCCCTGCTCTAAGAACAGACAAACAAGTTGAAAAGGAGATGAGGTATTAGATTTGTCAAAAAAATAAGACTCAGGTACACAGTGCCAGATCTCACCACTACCACCAAAATCTTAGAAGATGTATAACTGCTGTCTTCCTTCTGAAATAGCTATCAATTAAAATTCTTTATTCTTCTCACTATGGATCTCTGATGACCTCTTTCCTCATCAAATACTGCTTAGAGAATAAAATTTTATTTGAAAAGGTGGCTTACACACTGCAGTCAAGAAATTCTGGGACCACTGTCCGTTCTGACTAAGACTATCAGATCAAATTACCACATATACCATATTCTAAAAGTAAGAAGAATCTTGAAAACAGAATGATATTGAAAGTAAAGAGATGGAATGAATTGTGACATATACATGTCCATAGTTCTTTAAGGCAGTTGTAATCATCCCATACTATGGTTTACCATTTCTCCCTTAAAGATGCAGTACTATAACCATTTATCAAAGGCTACAGGGAAAATAAAGGTTTAGAAATGACAATTCACAGCTCTCAAGGAGTTCATTATTGGGCTGCTGAGAAGCAGATGAATATATTTTTATTTGTATTGGTACTATATGTGAGAAATAAACAAAGAACATTCTTGATACAAGAATGAGAAAGGAGGGGGGTCTTAAAAGGCTAGCATTTATTTGGATGAAGTAAGTGGGGAGAAGAGAGGACTGAGTACAGGATAAATTGTGTAATAAAGTAAGGAGGCAGAAAATTTTAAGACACAGAGGAAAAACTATAAACTAGTATAGCTGAATGTCATAGGTGGGACACAGTAAGGGATCAATATATATTTGTGGCATTTAACTGAAGACTAGGAAAACAAACTTTAAGACTGAAAATGTGGGTAAGGGACCAGATTAGAGAGAGAGAGAGAGAGAGAGAGAGAGAGAGTGTGTGTGTGTGTATTAGAGGCCTGGTGCACAAGATTCGTGCACTCGGGGAAGGAGGTGTCCCTCAGCCCGGCCTGTGCCCTCTCACAGTCTGGGAGCCCTGCGGGGATGTCTGACTGATGGCTTAGGACTCCTTCCCATGGGGAGTGGGCCTAAGCCATCAGTTGGACATCCTTAGCGCTGCCGTGGAAGCAGGAGAGGCTCCTGCCACCGCCATTGCTCTCACCACCCGTGAGCCTGGCTTCTGGCTAAGTGATGCACTGACCACCAGGGACAGCTCCTGCGTTGAGTGTCTGGTCCCTCGTGGTCAGTGCGCATCATAGCGACTGGTCGTTCTGCCGTTCAGTCGATTTGCATATTGGCCTTTTATTATACTAGAGGCCTGGTGCACAAAATTTGTGCGGGGGAGGGGGGTGTCCCTCAGCCCGGCCTGCACCCTCTTGCAATCCGAGACCCCTCAGGGGATGTCTGACTGCCAGTTTAGGCCCAATCCCGCACGGGTCGGACATCCCTCTCGCAATCTGGGACCGCTGGCTCCTAACTGCTGGCCTGCCTGCCTGATCACCCCTAACCACTTGCCTGCCTGCCTGATCGCCCCTAACTACTCGTTAGCCTGCCTGATTGCCCCTAACTACTCGCTAGCCTGCCTGATTGCCTCTAACCCCTCTCCTGCCTGCCTGATCGCCCCTAACCGCCTCTGCCTGCCTGATCACCCCTAACCACTCTGCCTGCCTGCCTGATCGACCCTAACCACCTCTGCCTTTCTGCCTTATCCCCCTAACTGCCTCTGCCTGCCTGCCTTATCCCCTTAACCACTCACCTGCCTGCCTGATTGCCCCTAACCCCTCTGCCTGCCTGCCTGATTGCCCCTAACTGCTTGTCTGCCTGATCACCCCTAACCACCTCTGCCTTGGCCCCCGCTGCTGAGGCTTCATCTGGAAGGTTGTTTGGCTGTCCAGTGTAATTAGCATATTATGCTTTTATTATTATAGAAGATACCATGTTACGAAGCCTGAACTTCCTTCTACAAGGAAGGAAGAATTATCAAAGGTACAAGAGAATGAAGCAACATTTTCATTTCAGAAAAGGCCACCGCACCTGGTATGCTAGATCTTACCTTCTATTTTGGGGGGGAAAAAAGAAAATAAAATACTAAAATGATCTACTGAGGTAAATAGCCTTCATTACAGCTTACTAGGGGCCCTACCCTGACCTTGAAATATTTCATAGCATTCCAGGGCATAAGAACCAAATTGATTAAAAATTTTCTTATCTGTAGTACTATATAAATTTCAGTTCCAAGTGCTAATTATTTACGAGCAGCTCTTTCAATATGCTCCACTTTATTGAGCCTTCAGTAAATACATATTGAGCATACATGTGCTTGGCACTGTTTGGGCTCAGATCACAAAAATAAAGACCAATGCATTTCCTACCCTTTGAAGATTGTAAACATGCAGTCAGAGAGGCAAAAGTTCCTCCTTGCATAGATCAAATATTCTTATTTATTGGACAGCACATTCACTACACAAAGTTAGCCTTAGGAAAAGAAACACATGTAAACAATAAAACTTCTGAATATTATTTATCAAAATGTTTTTCTTAATTTTTGAAAATACACTATTCCCTCAATTGTGGATTACAAACTATTATTTCACTGCACTTATCAGTACCTCTTCCTTTCTTTCTTTTGTTTTTATCGATTTCAGAGAGAGGAAGGGAGAGGGAGACAGAAACATCAATGATGAGAGAAAACCACTGATCAGCTGCCTCCTGCACACCCGCCCCTCCATAGGTGATTGAGCCCACAATCCAGGCATGTGAACTGACCAAGAATCAACACTCAACCACTGAGCTACATGGGCCAGGCCCTCCACTTTTTCTTAAGTACAAAACATTTACTTATTCTACCTCTCTCCATTGTTACAGCTGCAATCTACCACGGCACTTGCCTACCGTGTTTTGTACCTGGCTTGGTTCATTTCACCCTACTATCCTGGCTGCATTCAGTGTGGATATTGATTACTAGGTGTACCAGTTAATAATGCGGATTTTTTTCAATAGATGGAGTTACACATATGTTGATATATATGTGATTTGATATGTGTGCTATTTTATTGTATTGACAACAAGCTTTAAAACTTCATATGTTGCCGAAACCGGTTTGGCTCAGTGGATAGAGCGTCGGCCTGCGGACTGAAAGGTCCCAGGTTCGATTCCGGTCAGGGGCATGTACCTGGGTTGCGGGCACATCCCCAGTAGGGGATGTACAGGAGGCAGCTGATCGATGTTTCTCTCTCATCGATGTTTCTAACTCTCTATCTCTCTCCCTTCCTCTCTGTAAAAAATCAGTAAAATATATTTTAAAAAAAACAAAAAAAAACTTCATATGTCAAATTTGCTGAAGGTGTTAACATCATAGATATTTTTACGCTTAAAAATGTCAAATTTCTTGCCAAAAAAAGAGCATTTGCGGGAAGTTTTAATTCATTACTTTATTTTGAAGAAAAAGTTATCGTATACTTTGGGAAGCTTATGGTGAACATGCTCCATCTCAAGACACTTGTGAACACTGGTTTAAACGCTTTAAAAGTGATGATTTCTATGTGAAAGACAAAGAACATCCAGGTCAAACGAAAAAGTTTGAAGACCAACAATTACAAGCATTATTGGATAAAGATGCGTGTCAAACTCAAAAACAACTTGCAGAAAGACTAAACGTTCAACTAACAATTTACGATCATTTACAAACAATGGGAAAGATTTTAAAGGAAGGAAAATGGGTGCCACATCAACTGAACAAAAGACAAATGGAAAACCGAAAAGTCATCAGTAAAATGTTGCTTCAACAGCACGAAAGAAAGTCTTTTTTTGCATCGAATTGTGACTGGTGATGAAAAGTGGATTTATTTTGAGAATCCCAAATGCACAAATGGGTTGATCCAAGTCAACCATCAACATCGACTGCGAGGCCAAATCGCTTCGGAAAGAAGACAATGCTCTGCATTTGGTGGGATCAGGAAGTTGTGGTGTATTATTAGCTTCTAGAACCAGGTGAAACCGTTAATACTGATTGCTACCGACAACAAATAATCAATTTGAACCACGCTTTGATCATGAAATGACCAGAATGTGCCAGAAGACACGGCAAAGTAATTTTGCTTCATGATGACGTACCATCACACAATTCAAAACCAGTTAAAGACACGTTAAAAGATCTTGCCTGGGAAGTATTAACCCACCCGCTATATTCACCAGACCTTGCTCCTTCAGATTACCACCTGTTCCGATTGATGGCACACACTCACTTTCTGAGCACTTCAAAACATATGAAGAAGTGGAAAATTGGGTTTCTGAATGGTTTGCCTCAAAACAAGAAAAGTTCTATTGGGACGATATCCACAAATTACCTGAAAGATGGGGGAAATGTGTAGCTAGCGATGGACATTACTTTGAATAAAACACTTTTGATGTTTCTCTTGAAATTATTGTGTTTTCTTTGATTATAAAATCCGCCATTATTTACCATAGTACACCTAGTTCTCTTTTAATACTCTTGCCTTAAAGTTCTTTATACCTTGAATCTGTAAAGGCATTTATTTCCACATTACCTTCAAGATCCAGAACTATACTATATCGTTCTTTACAAGAGTTCCAAATGATGTCAAGATCTGTTTATAACCTCCCATACCACTATGCACACACACTTATCCCACCTTTTTAAGCTTCCATCTCACTACCACATTAATGTGTTCATGGTCAATATTAATCCCTTAAAGTTTCTCAGATTTGGTTTGTTGTCTTACTTCTTTTAAGTAATAGTGACTCATTTCAACAATGCCACTGGTAACATCTTAGATTCTATGGCTAATTCTCATTGTTTTACTAACTTGCTTGTTAAATACTAATCTTGGGAAATTCCTACCACTCAATTATTCCATTCTTCCTCTCAGGTTACTACATATTGATTGAAAAAATAATGAAACTAGGCCAATTAGTTCCATTATTAATTCACGGAACTTAGTCCTGCATACTATTGCCTGAAAAATGTTACTTATTTTTAACATCCTATTAAATTCTTCCCAATACTTATTCCAACCTTTCCCATGCTTCTCTGGCTCCTAACTTCATCCCTGCCCCCCACTTTTAATTCACTTAGAAAATAGCAACACCTTCAAATTTACTCTGAAGATCAAAGCCAACGTAGTACTGGAGTAAGGATACACATATAGAACAACACAACAGAATTAGAGTCCAGAAATAAAGCCTTGCATTTATGGTCAATTGATTTTCTATTACTTTTGCTGCTTTTTAAAAATCCTTACCCAAGGGTATGTTTTCTTGTGTGTGTGGTTTTTTTCCTATTTTTATTTTAGAGAGAAGGGAGGGAAAGGGGGAAGGAAGGAGGGAAAGAGGGAGGGAGGGAGGGAGGGAGGGAGAGAGGGAGAGGGAGGGAGATAGGTAGATAGATATCGGTTGCCTATTGTATGTGCCCTGTTCCTGGGAGTGAACCTGCAACCTAGGTTATATGCCCTGACAGGCAATCAAACCTGAGAACTTTTGGTGCATGGGATGGTGCTCCAACCAACCAAGCCACATTGGCCAGGGCTACTTTTGCTTCTTTAGTACAGCCATGAAACAAGAACAGATTAGTATGTCTTCTCATATCTCTGATGTTAATTATAATTTTCTTTTGCTGTCTGCACATATTTTCACCATTTCTGTTGTTATATTTGTTAAAAAGCTTTCTTCACATTTCTGTTTATTATTAGATATCCATTCATATTTAAGAGTTAAAGACTCTTGCCAGCCGGTGGTGCTCAGTGGTTGAGTGTTGACCTATGAATCAAGGGGTTGCTGGTTCAATTCCTGGTCAGGGCACATGCTCGGGTTGTGGGTTCAATCCCCGGTGGGGAGTGTGCAGGAGGCAGCCGATTGATGTTTCTCTCTCATCGATGTTTCTATCTCCCTTCCTCTCTCTGAAATCAATAAAAACATACTTAAAACAAAAAAAGACTCAAGATGTCAATACTATCTAAAGCAATCTATAGATTCATGCAATCCCTATCAAAATCCCAGTGTGTTTGCAGAAATAGAAAAATCCATCCTAAAATTCATATGGAATTTCAAGGGATCCCAAACAGCCAAAACAATCTTGAGAAAGAACAAAGTTAGAGGTCTCATATTTCCTGATGTCAAAACTTAGCTTTTATTATAGTAATCAAATCAGTGTGGTACATGGCATAAAGTCAGACATATAGACCAATGGAGTAGAGAGCCCAGAAATAAATTCTCACATATATGGTAAAATGTCTTGACAAGCACACTTATCAAAATTTCCATTCAATGAGAAAGGACTTTCAACAATTGGTACTGGGAAAACTGGATACGAAATGCAAAAGCTGGACCTTACCTTACATCACAAATACAAATTAACTCAAAATGGATCAAAGACCTAAACATAAGAACTAAAACTATAAAACTCCTAGAAGAAAACATAGGGAAAAGCGTTATGACATTGAATTTGGCAATGTTTTCTTGGATGACACCAAAGGCATAGGCAACAAGAGGAAAAACAGATGTTAGATTCATTAAAAACAAAAACAAAAAAACTTTTGAGTATCAAAGGACACTATCAACAGAGTGAAGTGGGAACCCACAGAATGGAAGAACATATTTGCAAATTATCTATCTGATTAGGATTGATATTCAGGACATATATTCAGAATATATACAGAACTCCTACAACTCAACAACACAAACAACCCAATTAAAAAAATGCGCCAAGATTTGAATAGTCGTTTCTCCACAGAAAAAAATACAAATGGCCAATAACCACAGGAAGAGATGCTCAACATCATTAGTTATCAGGGAAATGCAAATCAAAACCACAAGATATAGCTTCACCCTGTATACATACAATAGAATATTATTCAATATTAAATAGAAAAAATTTTTTGCATATAATAAACATGAATGAACCTGGAAGACATTATGGTAAGTGACATAAGGTAGTCACAAAGGAACAAATATTTTATAATTCCACTTTATATGAGGTTCCTAGTGTAGTCAAATTCATAGAGGCAGAAAGGATATAATGGTGGGTCTCAGTGGGTAATCAGTAGACCTGGTTTTTCACTAAAGGGCCTTCAAATATCAGTACACATAGGTCTTTTCCCTGAGTCAATTTTCCTCTGGAAGAATACTGTCATCTCCAACCAGGCTCCTCTCTTCATAATATATCAAATGGTAGTAAGTTCAATGTTTTAACTAATTTATATGTTTACTAGTGACCCGGTGCACAGATTCATGCACATCGAAAGGAAATTAATTAGAAGGTGGCCGGTGGGGTGGGACTGGGTGAGATGGGTTGGACACGCCCTGGAGCCAACCTCCCAAGGTCTCTCCCTGGCTGGACGCACATGGGGTGGTGTGTGGCGCAAAGGGTGTCTGTGGAATGAGCAGGGTCCCTCCGGCAGGTGGGCTCCCTCGGCCTGGCCTGCAGGGATCAGGCCGAAACCAGCTCTCTGACATCCTCCGAGGGGTCCCGGAGTGTAAGAGGGCACTCTGCAAAATTGCTGTCGTACAGGGTTTGGAATGCAAACACAAGTGTGCAGTAAACCAGATTCGGGGATGACAGTGCCCCAGAAATAACATAACCCACGGCCAAAGGTGGAATTGCATGGGCCCACGAGGAATCAGGCTCCCTCCTCTCTGGTTTCGGGGTGTGTCACCCGAGAACCACTGTAGCCAAGTCACTGCAGCTTGGCAGCTCCTGCATTGAGCGTCTGCCCCGTGGTGGGCAGTGCACGTCATAGCTACTGGTCAGATGGACATTTAAGCATATTAGCCTTTTATATATACAAGCAGTCATTGAGTTACACGTATGTCGTTTCGTGGTTATGTCACCATCTCCCATTTGCAGTATTTATATATAAAAAAAAAGTTCCATCATTTTGACATATGTACATATGTGCTTTATGTTTTTTATTATTTATTTACCACAAGTAAAGGTCAGGAATTGTTATCTTTCTCTTAAATTTTTTTTTACTGTTTCACTTTATTACTGCTGTGTATGTGCTCCATGTGAGTGATGTAGGTGCTTATATAGGTGGGTTCCAACTTATGGCAAAAATCATGTTACGTTGCCCCATAGGAACGGATCTCCGACGTAACCCAAGGACCTACTGTGTATGTCTCCCAAGACAGAGAAAGGGTGGACAGAAAAAAACTGCTGGTTAAAGTTGTCTAATTCTGACTAACAATGAATTACTATTTTCCCCAGGACTATATGCCTTCTTATGATTTTGTCCTCCTTTCTTGTCCTCCTCAGACATACAAGTGAAACAGATAGCATTCAGAGGTATGAATTCTACTCCTAGCACTAATATTACCTGGCAGTATGCTCTGGGATAAGACATATGAAAAGAACAGTATATTAGCAGTTATTTCCAAACTCCCAAATTTATTTTAGAAATGCAAACTTTCTCATTAAATACTGGAGATTTAACTTGCTCTTTAAAAAGTAATTAGATTAGATTACTAAATTAGAAATCTAGTTTAGGAGTCCGTCGATCCATAACTAAAAATCTCTGGCACTTGCAGGCAAACGGTAACCTGATCATTTGTCATTTAGGGTTATATCCCTGTACGGATAATAATTACTGTGGAGCCAGCTTTTACAGGGACAGGCAGAATAGTGTAGTGGTAAGCAGAACAGGCTGTGGAGCCTGACTGCCTAGATTCCATAACAGCTTGCTGGCTGTGGAATCTGAGTGACTTACCTAAGGAAACTAATGCCAAGAAAGCTTATCTGTGATTAGAATAGTAACTACTACCTCATTGGATTAAGAAGAATGACTAACTCAATAAATTTACAATGATACTCAAAGCTTGATACAAAAGCCTCAAGGCACTATTAAACAGTAAAGCTAAGTAATTTTGAGCTATTTAATATTTAAACATTATAAATTTTACCTATAAGAAAGCAAAAACCAATTTGGGGGAGATCTGTTCTGGAAAAAAGATATTTTACAAAATTCTCCCCATTTTTAAACATGGCAACTAGTTTGCTGACCTCCAGAATCATCATCTTTCTTTTTTTAAACTTTTTTTTAACAGAATAAAATTTTGGAGTTCATATACAACTTTTTATTAATTTTGACATTCTCAAATTACAAAATACTACATATTTATTGTAACAAGTGAAACAAGATTAAGAAGCTAAGACAAAACTAATTCTCTTTTCCCATTATTTCTAATCCAATCACCTAAGATAACCAATATTATCAGTACAAATGCTTTTTATACATGCACTATTTTTCTTTTCAAAATTACTACAAATATAATAATCAAAAGCTTACCTCCAGATATATTGATGGTGGATTATGCTCCCCACCAAATTTGTCCAATAGCGCCTCTATATGTTCCTGTGTCAACTTAATCATTTGTTTGATATTCCACACCTATAAAACATTTTTAAAACAATTTAAATAAAAATAATTTAGGTAAGGAATTAGAAATACTTCAAGATTTCTTTTTCTTTTAAAATTTTTTTTTTGATATATATTTTATTGAGTTTTTACAGAGAAGAAGGGAGAGAGATAGAGAGCTAGAAACATCGATGAGAGAGAAACATCGATCAGCTGCCTCCTGCACATCTCCTACCGGGGATGTGCCTGCAACCCAGGTACATGCCCTTGACTGGAATCGAACCTGGGACCTTTCAGTCCGCAGGCCGACGCTCTATCCACTGAGCCAAACCGGTTTCGGCTACTTCAAGATTTCTATCAAAATATTGCAGTAACTGCCTGTACCCTTGAAATTTAGAGTTTAGAAAACTTAAGAGAGGTGGAGTTTTGGGAGAACCAAGATGGCGGCATAGGTTAACAACGGAGTTTGCTGCCTTGAACAACTACTTCAAAAGTGAAACTAAAAAACGGAACGGACATCACCCAGAACCACAGGAACGCTGGCTGAGTGGAAGTCCTACAACTAGGAGGAAAGAGAAACGCATACGGACACTCAGAGGAGGCGCAGTGCTGAAGTCAAGTTCTGAGGTGCTGAGTGCGTGGAGCGGGCTGGCGGAGTAGGGCGCGGTTGGCGTTTTCAATCGGGAGGGAGTCGCAGACTCTGAGCTCCAGATACAGGCGAGTCTTTAGGGACCCAGACTCAAACGGGAGAAGCGGGACTGTCTGGCTTCGGTCAGAGAGAGTGCAGCTTTCTCTCCGAGGTTTGCAGCGGGTGCTGGGACCCAGAGAGGCAGAGCCCCTGGGGACAGGACTGAGAGCCGCCATAACTGCTCTCTCCGACCCACCCCGCCCAAGCCCTGCACAGAGGCATTTGCCGGATAGCCTCAGGCAAAGGCTGGATTAGCACCTCCCTAGAGGACAGAAGTTCTCTCACTGCTGACACAGCTGATTCTCATAGCCACTTGGCCTGGAGGTCAAACCCTCCCTGGTATTAGCTACAACAATCAAGGTTTAACTATAAGACTGCGCACAAAGACCACTAGGGGGTGCACCAAGGAAGCATAACAAAATGCGGAGACAAAGAAACAGGACAAAATTGTCAATGGAAGATATAGAGTTCAGAACCACACTTTTAAGGTCTCTCAAGAACTGTTTAGAAGCCGCCGATAAACTTAATGAGATCTACAAGAAAACTAATGAGACCCTCGATGTTATATTGGGGAACCAACTAGAAAGTAAGCATACACGGACTGAAATAACGAATATTATACAGACTCCCGACAGCAGACCAGAGGAGCGCAAGAATCAAGTCAATGATTTGAAATGCGAGGAAGCAAAAAACACCCAACCGGAAAAGCAAAATGAAAAAAGAATCCAAAAATGCGAGGATAGTGTAAGGAGCCTCTGGGACAGCTTCAAGCGTACCAACATCAGAATTATAGGGGTGCCAGAAGATGAGAGAGAGCAAGATATTGAAAACCTATTTGAAGAAATAATGACAGAAAACTTCCCCCACCTGGTGAAAGAAATGGACTTACAGGTCCAAGAAGCGCGGAGAACCCCAAACAAAAGGAATCCAAAGAGGACCACACCAAGACACATCATAATTAAAATGCCAAGAGCAAAAGATAAAGAGAGAATCTTAAAAACAGCAAGAGAAAGAAACTCAGTTACCTACAAGGGAATACCCATACGACTGTCAGCTGATTTCTCAACAGAAAATTTGCAGGCCAGAAGGGAGTGGCAAAAAATATTCAAAGTGATGAATACCAAGAACCTACAACCAAGATTACTTTATCCAGCAAAGCTATCATTCAGAATTGAAGGTCAGATAAAGAGCTTCACAGATAAGGAAAAGCTAAAGGAGTTCATCACCACCAAACCAGGATTATATGAAATGCTGAAAGGTATCCTTTAAGAAGAGGAAGAGGAAGAAAAAGGTAAAGATACAAATTATGAACAACAAATATGCATCTATCAACAAGTGAATCTAAGAATCAAGTGAATAAATAATCTGATGAACAGAATGAACTGGTGATTATAATAGAATCAGGGACATAGAAAGGGAATGGACTGACTATTCCTGGGGGGGAAAGGGGTGTGGGAGATGCGGGAAGAGACTGGACAAAAATCGTGCACCTATGGATGAGGACAGTGGGTGGGGAGTGAGGGCGGAGGGTGGGGCGGGAACTGGGAGGAGGGGAGTTATGGGGGGGAAAAAAGAGGAACAAATGTAATAATCTGAACAATAAAGATTTAATTAAAAAAAAAAAGAAAACTTAAAGATTATTTAGTATAGTGGTGTTTCCCTTTTATTAAACACTAGAGGCCCAGTGCACATCATTTGTGCACGAGTGGGGTCCCTAGGCCTGGCAGGCGGTCAGAGCCTATCAGGGCTGTCTCGCCCCGTCCCAATTGGGGCCGGGCCAGTCAGGGCCTGCTGGCTGCTGGCTGGGGCCTGGGGGCCTGCTGCCGGCTGCCGGTAGGGAGCTGCCGGATGAGGCCTACTATTATATAGTAATCCTATATAATAAAGTGGGGGAGGGATTGGGGGTGGGGAAGAATGGAGAGGAAGCACAGAATGTTTGCTGGCCAGGGGAAGGAAGGTTGGCTGTGGGAGCACACTGACCACCAGGAGGCAGCTCCTGAGTTGATCATCTTCCCCCTGGTGGACAGTGTGTGTAATAGCAACTGGTTGACGGGCCATTCTGGTCGTAACAGTTGCTTATGCTTTTATATATATATATATATATATATATATAGAGAGAGAGAGAGAGAGAGAGAGAGAGAGAGAGAGAGAGAGAGACCTGGTGCACAAAATTCATGCTCCAGAGAGTGGAAGGGTGTCCCTCAGCCTGGCCTGCACCCTCAGGGGATGTCCAATTGCTGTGGGGATCAGGCCTAAACTGGCAGTGATGGGACATCCCTCCTACAGTCCGGGACGCTGCATGCACCAGTGACTATACTTTTCATACAGGTGAAAGGCTTCTTGCTGTTATATGGGCAGCTACATTTTTTTGCCCTGATTATAAAAAGTAGTATATAACATGATCCTTCTGAGGCAGTAGTACCATTTTCCTCATCTTATGGGTGGAAAAACTGAAGCAGAGAGAAATTAAGTAATTGGCTTTGTTACACAGTTATAAGTGTCAGAATCAGGGCTGACCACAAAATGTGCAAGCCAGAGTCCATGCATGTCATCGCTGCATCATCCTCTTTTTTCAGTGTTAGAGTAGCCTTGCCAGGTTTTAATTTTTAAATCTAAGAGACTGTTCCCAATATATAGGGTAGGATCCCTAGGCCTGGCTGGCGATCAAGGCTAATATGTGGGGCGACAGGTGGGGCCCCCTCTGACACCCACCTTGGCTGGCGACCTGGCACCGCCCCCCACAGCCAGTTGCCTCCCTCTGTGGGGCAACCGGCATGCGGGGCAATCAGGGGGACCCCCACTGGCACCTGCCTTGGCTGGCAGCCTGGCGCCACCTGCTGGCCTGCCTCACCCCCTGATCACCACCACCGGCTGCCTCCCTCTTGGGGGGCAGTGCACGTCATAGTGACCGGTCATTCCGCTGGTTGTTCTGCAGTTTGGTTGATTTGCATATTAGGGTTTTATTATATAGGATTTGACAAATGTTTTCTATACTAGTAATCCTATATAATAAAGCGGGAATATGCAAATTGACCGTCACTCCGCCACAAAGATGGCGTCGCACACAGCAGAGTCGGGGGTTTCTGTAACACAAGATGCCTGCGCCCACAGCGGAGGCCAAGTTCCCGTCACGAGCCTTAACAAGCAATCAGCAGGGACCTGAGGCTGCAGCCCCCAAACCCCCGCCCCCATGGGGCTTGACAGGGAACCTCAAGGCGCACTCCCGCCCTGGCCTGGGCTACGGGACCCCAGGCCACACCCCCCGCCCTGGCACCGGGCCAGGGGACCTGAGGCTGCGCCTCCCTGCCCGGCGGGGCTTGACAAGGGTGGTATCAGCCGGGTTTGGATCTAGCCCAATGGGAGGTGGGGGCGGTTGGGTCTGGGTCTCGCACGATTTTGAGGCGCACATGGGTGGGTGGGGACTTGACTGTGGGTCCCATGGTGCGCCCCAGACTCTAACAGGAGGAAGATTTTCATATACATTTTACTAATTTTCTTTCATCTCTGACACTTCTATCATAGAGAAAGGGCAAATAGCAATATTAAAATATTTCCTCTAATTAATCACCTTTTAATGTGCATGAATTTCATGCACCAGGTCACTAATACAATATATTCTCAACTATAAAAAAATCAAATACGTGAGTATTCAGAATAAACAAAAATCTCTTTTCAATTTTCCTACATTCCTGGCCCCCTGCTAAAAAGGTAAGTGCTGTTTATAGTGTTTTTTTTAAAGATATTTTTATTGATATCAGAGAGAAAAGGAGAGGGAGAGAGAGGTAGAAACATCAATGATGAGAGATAACCACTGATCGGCTGCCTCCTGCATGCCCCACATTGGGGATCAAGCCCACAACCTGGGTATGTGCCCTGACTGGGAATCAAATTGTGACCTCCTGGTTCAGAGGTCGATGCTCAACCACTGAGCCAAGCCGATTTGGCTTACTATTGATTTTTAGAGACAGTGAAGGGGGGGAGAGGGGGGGGGGGGAGGGGGAGAGGGAGAGAGGGGGAGGGGGGAGAGGGAGAGAGAGGGAGGGAGGGAGGGAGAGAGAGAGAGAGAGAGAGAGAGAGAGAGAGAGAGAGAGAGACATTGATCTGTTGCCTCCTGCATGTGCCCCGACTGGGGCCAGGGATCGAACCTACAACCGGGGTACATGCTCTTGACTTAGAATCAAATCCATGACCCTTTGGTGCACTGGCCTATGCTCTAACCACTAAGCAAATTGATGTGTTTCATATTGATGGTTCTCTCTCTTCCCACTCCCTTTCTCCCTTCTTCTCTCTAAAAATCAATGGAAAGAAATATTCTCGGGTGGGGATTAACAACAAAACAAACAGG